CTAGCAGCAGAACAAGCTTGTTCTTAGACAGCAATCAATCACAAGTGCGACAAAATCAGCACATCTGTACGTCCATGCATGCCATGAGCAGCACTCAGATGCATTTCCCTGACAATGACCCTCTGTACATTCTAGCAGCGCCGACCCCACCCCACCTACCCCCATGCTCATCCCACAGCGAAGCGAGTCACTTCAACAACAATACATGCCGTCCCTTGTATACGCGTGCAGCTTATTCTCATCCCATGACCCTCTTATGTATCTCCTCCATGCTGACTTTTCCCAAATGAGTGTAGCTCGATGTCTTCCCTTTTTGGATTTCGTCCTCTCCCCATTTCTCGTCCTTCGTTCGTTCGCCCGTTTGCCCATTCGCCCATTCGTCAGCGCGTCTACAGGTCGCATTCGTCGGGTCGCTCCAGCACCAGGATGACATCTCCGCCGTACGATGCGTTCGACGAGATCGCCGCCATGACCGTCTCGAAGCGCTCGCCGGCGACGTTCAGCACCACCGGCTCCGTCGCCCACTTGGCGGCGCCGCTCGTCGCAGTGCTTCGCGCGGTCGTCGCCAGCAGGCGGTCGCCCGCGCGCACCTTGTGGATGGGCGCGTGCTCCGCGTGCCCGCCGTGCTGCACGTCGTCCACTAGGATGTCGCCCGTCGCATTCTCTGACATCCATGGCACATCATGCGACATCATGCGACATGCGACGTGCGACATCATGCGACATCCACGAGCGAGAGTGGGTGCGAAAAACGCGCGGTTTTAGCTCCCATAGCACTCGGCTAGGCGAAGAAATGAGGGATTTAAGCCCAGCGTCGAAGGATGGAGAGTTAGCAGTGCGACATTCGTGCGCCATGCGACACGATGCGACATGCGACAACCCAACAAAGAAGCTTCGCGGTTTGGCGAGTCAATCCTATTCGTGCCGTGCCGGGCCGTACACCGAACCGCAACCGTGGACGAACCTGACATAAAGAGCCGACGTCGCAGGCCGAAGGGCTTCCACAGTCGACAGAAAGTTGCAGTAAATGGCGAGAGCCAAAAACAAGGAGACCAACACTCCGTCGCACACTTACCATCGAGGATTTAACGTTGCGCCCATCGTGCAGAGAACATCCAGGCATTCAAGAAAAAGAAAAAAAAGAAAAAAAACGCTTCTTGGTCAGAAAGACCGGTAAGCACGAGCGTTCCGCACGAGCGGCGCACCTTTAAAGACGATGCCGAGCGGCTTGCCGAGCGGGACCCAGTAGACCTCGCCGCCGTGCGACTCGACCTCGAGGTTCTCGCGGTGGTCGCCGAGGTTGACGCGCACGAGCACCTTCTCCTTCTCCTCACGATGCACGGACCGCTCCATCGCCACGCACGTCAGGCGCCGCGGCGACGCGCGCGTGACGACTGCGCGAGGAGCTCGCGCGGCGACAGGCGACGCGCGCGCAACCAGCTGGGACGACCATGCGAGGGAGGTTGGGGAGGCGAGAAGCGACGCCATTGCTTAGTGTAGAAGATGCTGGCGGGCCGGTGTTTCTGAACGATGGCGTGACGGCTCTTCAGAAATGCAAAGCGAATTATTTTGGCAGCCAAAATCGGCAGTAGTGCTCTCAGGTTGCGCAGGCGCAAGAAAGCAGGAGGCTGGGAAATGTGTGAATTGTGAAATGCAAGCAGCTCTACGTGCAAGAATTGGGCGATGTTCGGCAGCCAGGGGAGGGGGTTTGAGGGGGGATCAAAATGTCGGGCCTCCAGCTTCGACCTGTACGAACCAGGCAAAACACTTCGGTCAGACTCGAAAAAACTGAAAAACATGTCGAACGTGAGCCTAAAACGCGACGCGACCACCGTTCTAGATGGTTGCCCGCGCCGCATCCTCCCCCGAATTCTCCCCCATGGCAGAAAAACTCCGCCCTAGTGCCCAGGGAATCCAAATTGCACTCCCGTGAAAGGCCTCATCCACGGGGGGTGTAAATTGGATTCCCTCATCCACGCTATTTGTTTATGATTTTACCCCACACTCTTAAATAACGAGTAATGTCGACATTGGAAATTTACTGTTAGAACGAATATAATAATCGATCTCAATAAGGTCACATGGTGATTACGAGATATAGGACCTTAAGTTTGATTTATGGTGTTAAAGAATTTTGGGTAGCAATATACCCAAACAAATCGCAACAGTAATTCCAGGCAGGAAGAAGAAAAACCGTTCAGGACGAGAAGTTTCGTTTCGTGCGGCAGCAGTTTCGTGAGCCCCACTTTCCCGCGTCGCTCGTCCGCGCCTTCCCCCCCAGACTTTCCGCTTGCGCCTGGACGCCGGACTTGGAGTCAACGCTGGTTGACTCCAAGTTGACCAGCCCAAACTAGAAACCCTAGGTTCGAATTTGGATTCCCCCCCTCCCCCTCGCTGTATCCCGTGTGCTGCCGAACAATGCCTTGGGCGGGGCGCATTTATGGAAATTTCGAACCACTACGTGCTGGGCGGTTAGGGGGGGGGTGGGGGGACGAGAGGGGGAATGCGCTCGCCTTTATCGGAATACAAGGCGCACGAGGAGGTACATGCGGGGGGAGCGCAGGAGCCGATGCCAGCGCGGACGATTCGTGCTACCCAGGCTGGGCGCGCTGCTTTCTTGGCAATCTTGAAGGACGCTTGGCGGAGGTGCCACCAAACGCAGCGCGATTGGGAGATGCCGCAAGAGCGCAGCGCGGTGACACCCTTGGGAGGAAGGGAGTTGCTTGTGCCAGTTCTGAGTGTGTGTTGTACGTCCAGCGAGGCATGCCACGTCTGAAGAATCACGCAGCTGTCTGCTCCACCATGCGCAAATGACGTGGTAAGTACCGTCGTCGTGTCAAATGAATCCGAATCCCGTTTTCGACTATTCCGATACTTCATTGAGTGCCGTCACATTTCAAGAGCCAACGTTGATCATACGACAGCTGAATGCTCTATAAGACCAAACTACCTAGAGTTTATATAAACTCATTCACTGCATGGCAAATGTGTAAATCAGAAATTGAGTTTGACACTGCTAGTCCAGTTCATCAAAAGACACATGAGGTCCATAACTACATCCAGGCACATCAACATCCATGGCGCCACAGCAGTCCCAGAATCTGAGGAGCCCTGTGCCATGCACCACACTCAGCTGGTCCTCCGGGCGGCTGCTGGCTCTAGTGAACCCCACGGCCTTGCCCCTCTCTCCTCCTGTGAACAAAGCAGGGTGGTACCTGAGAGGAGAGTGGGAAGAGGTGACAACGAACTTATAATGTGTCTAAAAAAGCGTCTCACTTCTGAGGCGCCTCAAAAGCATCTCAATTCATGGAGTGTGGGGAGAGATGTAATGAGAATTTGAGGGGAGCAGCACGGCTCAAAACAAAGAGTGGTCGACTTGAAGCAAAGAGGGAGGAGTAAGGGGATGAAGCACCAGCACAGGACTTGTACTACTTGAGAATCAAATCGAAATGGCAGCAGCACGAGCAGCGCTAGAGCCTCACATGGACGTCAAAGCCACGCCTCTGGCGAAGCTGGTGATGCCGCACTCAGGAGGGTGGCAGGCGGTGGAGGGGAGGGAGAGGCGCCACATCCATCCCCGGGAAGCAGGACCACAACAGCTGCTGCCGGAAACATGCTCACGCTCGCACGCGGAACATCATTTTTTCGCCTCAGGCGTGCCCTCAAGTTCGTTTCACGTCGTTGCGCGCCTCCGTGCCTCTACGCTTCTACCTCACTGACAGCATTCCAGCTACCCCCTGCCCTCCGCACTCACCTGCACGCGCGTGCGTGATTGCGACGCGGATCGTACGCCTCTCTGCAGCGTCGACACGTCTTCGTCTCGCCGCTCCCACTCCCTGCCTCCGCGCTCAAGCCCGCTGCTCCGCCGCTTGCGCCCTCGCGCTCTCCCGGCGCTGCGGGGCTGCCCTCCGCGGCGGCGGAACGATCGTGCGCCTGTCCGCCTGCCCCCGCCACCGTCGCCACCCTCACCGCGCCTGCGCGCGCCTGTGAAGGGATTGTGCGGGCGGAAAGCCGAGGCAGGGCGGCGGAGGGCGGCGGCGGCGCGGAGGTGCGCAGTGCGGTCAAGTGCGGCTGCGGAAAGGCCCGCGTGTTCATTTTCGGGACTCCCGCGACGACGGCGATGACGGTGGCGGGGTGAAACACACGCGCTCAGAGATACGATTGACACGACAAAAGTTCGGTTTGCGTCAACTGACTGAAATGGGAAGGACAGAGGGAGGGAAGGTGTGTTGCTCTCTGCTTGGCGAGGTTGGGTGGGCAGAAAAGGTCGGGTTCAGAGTTTGTGCGGTAGTGTTCAGCGGTACTTCCAGGTTCCTGACGTCGCCACGCCAACACGATTGAGTGTCGAGTCGACGGGCATTTCGGGAACCCAGCCTGAATTGCGCCGTCGCCGTAGTCCGCAACCCTTTTCTGCGATTACGACACCGTTTCGTTGGGGTGTGACGAAATTGGAGGGATTCGGCGTGGGGTGATGATTGATGAATCGTGGCATCCAGCATGAACCGCACGCCGCTCCTGCTCTCCTTTCTGTTTTTCCGAATAACTAATTTTCAGCGCATCTGCTGTGGTGAAAGTCCGTGCGCTACGTTATGACAGGCACTATGCATCGCGATCTCGTTGCCGTGTCAGCCACGCTTCGCCCGCGCGCCTTGCGCCCCGCACTGCAACACTGTCCTCCTCGCTTGCACCGCATCGCCTCCTTCTCCTGATCGCCCAGCTCGCTCCTCGCCTCGCGTCGCCCGCCGCAACCCCCGGCGCCCATTTCACCCACTCGCCGGGTGACGTGCCAGCAGTGGCAGCAGCAGCAGTGCCGCCGCGCCATATCCCATCCCCTATTCACCACAATTTCCGCTCGTCTGTGTCGTCACGACCATTGCGGTTGTGGCTCAGCACGTGTGCCACGCCTCGCCACGCGTCGCCTCGCCTCGCCTCGCCACGCCTCGTCTCGCCGCGCCTCGCCTCGCCACGCCTCGCCTCGCCTCGTCTCGCCGCGGCGCGCCATGGACTATTACGCCGTGCTGGGCGTGCGGCGCGACGCGAGCTCGCACGAAATCAAGGTGCGACGATGCCTCTCCTTCCCCTCCCGCCCCACTTTCCATGTCCGTCTTTCCTCCCCCCACGCACCCACTCCCCCACAATGACGCGGCATGCTGCGATTCGTTGATGGCCGCCGCAGCTATGACTAGCATTCGGCGCCATTCGCCGGAGCCATCACTACACCGGGTCTGCTGCTCTCTTCCCCACAGTTCCTCTGAACCGCGACTGCCAAATTTCGCAGATTTAGCGGGTTGCGGACTGCGGGAACAGTGCGCTGGGCACTGGGGAAAAACAGCAGCGCGACCTACCAGCATGCGCTGGTGCAAGGAAAAAGGCACCCCAGAACGGGTCGGTCACCCTTGAGAATTCTCAAAAGCCACATCACGGAACATCCCTCAAACGGGCCTTTGCATAGAATCATATGTATACAGGCAAGCAGGTGAACTGTGAACACCCCTCTCGCGCGTGCCACCCCGTCCACCTGTACTCCCCTCCACGCACCATCCCTCGGCATTTTCTTGCGTCGCCTCTCGCCTCGCCTTCCCCACTCGTTCTCCACCTTCTCATCTCACTGGCTCCCCGCTTTCCCCATCCCTTCTGCCTTCCTTCGCCTCTCGGTCCCCCCCCATCTCTCACGTGCTCTCCCTCCCTCCCTCTGTCCCCCCTCACCGTCCCCCGCCCCCACTCCCCAGGCGGCATACAAGTGGAAGGCCATAAAGTGCCACCCTGGCCCCTTTTTCGCCTTCTCTTCCCCCTCAATCCCCCTTCCCGTCCTTCTCCTTCCCTCCCTCTATCCCCCCAGGCAGAAACAGGTGGAAGGCCATGAAGTGCCATCCTGACCCCCTTTCCCCTCCTGTCCCTCTCCCTTCCCACTATGCCCCTACCTCCCCGTCCTTCCCCCACCCACCAGGCGGCGTACAGGCGGCAGGCCATGAAGTGCCACCCGGACCGCGTGCACGCTGCTGCTAAGGGCGCCACCAGGGGCGCACAGGACGCCGCTGCTGCTCGCTTCCGAGCCATCGCCGAGGCTTATGAGGTGGGGTGGTGTGGGGGGAAGGGGGACAGGTGGGTGGGGGGAAGGGGGCGGGAGATGGGAAAGGGAGCCAGGTGGCAAAGGGTAAAGGGAGGTCGGTCGGGGAGAGTGGACTGAAGGGGTCTGCAGACGGGGGGGCGTGGATTCAGGGTTGCTTGCAGGTGGGACGTTTGGCTGAGACAAGGGGTGGTGCAAGACGCAAAGGGGAGAGAGTGGAAGGGGTTGAGTGTGCGAGGCGTGCATTGGACCGTGCGCTGCCATGGGGCATGATATGTAGAATGCTCCATGGTCAAGCATGGCGGACTGGGAGTCAACCCGGCATGCTTCTGCATCGCCAGTCAAAGCTTCCTTCACTTCACCCCATTGTGCCCCTCACACGGCTGTCCTTCCCCTTCCCCCCTCTTGCAATGGGTGCCAGCTCACTCGAAAAGTCGCCCTTCGATTCGGCGTCTAAGTTGCAATGGAATGTTTTCGTGAGTGTGCCTTGACTGCTCTGTCCCTCTCTCGCCCACATCCTCTCCCCTCCCAACCTCCCCTTTTTCAGGTGCTGGGCAATGAGGTGTGCAGGCGTGCATACAACAGCTGCTGGCATGTGTGGCGCCAGCAATGACTCCCGAGTCGAATTAGTCGAATTAAAAGCTTTCTCCAATCCACCTCCCCATCCACCCCCCCTCCTCTCCCCCCTCCCCCCCACTCCCCGGGCAGGTGCTGGGCAATGAGGCGCGCAGGCGTGCATACAACAGCCGCCGGCATGCAGGGCGGCAGCGGGCGGGCCATGGGGGCACGTGGGACTCGTGGCGGAGGCAGCACAGCCACGCAGAGTGGGACGCAGGGCGAACGGACGGTGGGCACAGCAGCAGTGGCGGCAGTAGTGGCAGTGACAGTTACTGGAAGCAGCAACAGCAGCAGCAGCACTATCGGCATGGGCAGCAGCGGTGGCAGCAGCAGGAGGCGGGTGGAGGGGCGTGGGGGCGGGCATGGTGGAGGTGGGGGCGAGGGGGATGGGTGGCGGCAGTGAGCAGAGGCATGGGGCCTGTTGACCTCGCCTTCCATGCTGCCATCGGCAGGTGGGACGCGTGAGCATGTGATTCTGGTGTTTTGTGCTGTGGGGAGGGTCCGTGCAGTACAGGTCAGCCGGTGAATGCGCTGGCTGAGCAGAGGCATGGGCCCTGTTGACTTCGCCTTCCATGCTGCCATCGGCAGGTGGGGGGATTGATTGGGCACGTGGTTGTGCTGTGCTGTGCTGTGCTTGCCAGCCATAGGGTGGCCCTCTGCGCTGCTCTGCTCTGCACTGTGCTGTGCTGTGCTGTGCTGTGCCGTGCCGTGCCGTGCCGCACCCCAGTGATTCCATCATGCCTTGTCTGCTCTTCATCCTGTGCTCGTACAGGCCAGCACATCAGCCGTGGACCACAGCTTTGCTATTCTTCGCAAGGTTCTCTGCTTGAGGAAGTGCCTTTACCCATTCCTGATGCACCAGTACCACCATCCACCCACCCACGTGTGCCTGTGTGCGCCCTGCAGCCTTATTGTGGGCGGGCTAGTGCTGGGTGGCACAGCAGGGGACTACCTGTGGGCCTCGGCCAACCGAGGGGTGAGTGCTGTGGGGTTGGTGGGATGCTGCCTGTGCGGGTTCAGACTAAGGGTGGGACTGAGCAGTGCAGATCGGCAGAGTCTGGAATCCAGATGATGGCTTTGCTTTGCAGTATGTGTTTGTAAGCTTGGGCTGTTGTGACAAATGGATGCCTTGCCATGCCGTGCCATTCCGTGCCATGCCGTGCCATTCCGTGCAATGCCGTGCCATTCCGTGCCACGCCGTGCCATTCCGTGCCATGCCGTGCCATTCCGTGCAATGCCGTGCCATTCCGTGCCATGCCGTGCCATTCCGTGCCATTCCGTGCCATTCCGTGCCATGCCGTGCCATGCCGTGCCATGCCGTGCCATGCCGTGCCATGCCGTGCCATGCCGTGCCATGCCGTGGCATTCCGTGCCATGCCGTGCCATGCCGTGCCATGCTGTGGCATTCCGTGCCATGCCGTGCCATGCCGTGCCATGCCGTGCCATGCTGTGGCATTCCGTGCCATGCTGTGCCATGCTGCAGTGCCATGCCATGGATGAAGGGGCTTGCTGCAACATGCCATTTCATGCGATAAAGCCGCCATCTTCTTCTTCCAATCCTCGTGCGTTTAGGTGGTCTGAAAGGGCACTGCCACCATTGCGGTGGCCGTTGTTTATCCCTGCCCCTCCCACTGCCCGTGACTTTTGTTAGCAGAAATCATTTGAGGAGGCGATGGCAAGAATGGGTACGAGGAGGCCAGCACCTCCTGTGGCAAATGCTGACAGTGCTGATGATGCCCAAGACACCGGATGGGGCACATCGCCCCCGTAGATTTTTATTCTTCTTGAAGTTCCGCATTTGGTGGTACCGTATGTCGCAAATAGTGAAGTGTACATAAAGCCGTGTCACGACCTTCCAGCGTCACGGTGTGGTACTTGATTTTAAGTTTCCTTGTATAATAAGGTTTTCAGCAGGGCCTAAGGGCGTGTTCCTAACCTACGGCCTCATATCAGGAAACCTCGTATCAAGGATGCTGTTTTTGCCTGGTAAAACTAGCGAGAGGTTTTGGGTTTAGGGGAATTTTCAGTGTCAGCCTGATACGAGGTTGTCTTGATACGAGGATAGGAACACGCTCTAAAATTGTCAGAATAGCATAGCGGAATGGTGACTTGATGCTAATCTCATATGAATATAGTTTGACACACTCCCATAGGCTAAGTGAGGGGCATCGTTCGAACAAGACAAACAATAGCTTAGGGCGTCTCAACTAGTCCAACCATTGGGACAAGCAAACGGTCACAAGACCTGTCGGAAAAAACAACACAATCAGAGATGCAACTCAGGGTGGCACAACTAGTCCAGCATCTGAGGCAAATGGCCACAAGGCCAGTCCAAGAGTATATATATATGTATATATGTATATATGTATATATATACGCATATATTAGAATTGTTAGAATCTAAGTGAGAGAATGATTGATGAGACTAGCAACAAGGGTGATACAAATGTGGAACCCTAATGGGTTGTACCCCCTAGTGAGTACCTCACGATAGCCTACAGTGATATATAACATTTGACACACCCTCATAGGCTAAGTGGGGGACAACAAAACGGTCACAACAAGACCAGTCAGAGAAGCAAACAAAACAAAGCTCAGGGTGGATCTCAAGATCACCACGCGGTCCGAGCACAAGCAAGTGGCCACAAGGCCAGTTCACATGCAGAGTTTATAATAGCAATTGCAGTACACTGATCACAACCTAGCAAGTGTAAACATGCAGGTATAATCATATATATCAGAGTACAACAAGTGCAAGGCAAGATCAAGAGACAAGCAGGTGAGGCAGAGTGGGCACAAGCCCAAGAGCAGTGCAGAAACGCTGGTGATCACCAGACCCGAGGGCCTTGGTGAAGACATCAGCAGTATTGGCCTGTCAGGCCACGTACGAAACGCGAAGCTGACCACGCTACTGCAACTCTCGTGCGAGGAAGTAACGAAGCGCAATGTGCTTCGTTCTGTGCTCCAGTCTCTGGTCCTGACACAAGGCAATAATGGCCTTGTTGTCGACGTACAGAACTGGAGGAGAACGAGGCCGCTCACCCAAGTCGTTCAGCAGGTAGGTCAGCCAGCGGAGCTCCTGTGCAGCCATAACCCCAGCGCAGATCTCGGCCTCACAGCTCGAACTGAGTACAGAAGACGAGCGAGTGGACCTCCACGAGACAGAACCAGTGCCAAGGCTGAAACTGTAACCCTGCGTCGACCGGTGAGTCGTCTGGTCGTCAGCCCAAGAAGCGTCTGAGTGACCGGTGAGAACAACTGGACCCTGTCCCCCAAGCACAAGCCCCATGCCTGATGTACTGCACAAGTAACGCAGTACCCTCTGTGCAGCTGTCCAGTGCTCCTTCCGGTGTCTACCGGGCGCAACGTAGCGAGCAAGGAGGCTGAGAGGGTACGCGAGGTCAGGTCGTGTGCACTTCATCAAGTACATGAGGCAACCCACAAGCTCTGGATACGGACCACTCGGCTCTACGGACTCGTCCGAAGGTGGAGCTGAGAGCGAGTGACCTGTAGGCAGAGGAGTGGGCTGTGGCGAGGAGAACTAGAAGCCGAAGCGTTGAAGGACCTGGTGCACCATGTGTGAGTGAGTCAGGGTGATGGTGCCTCGTGCTCTGTCGCGGGTGATCTGCAAGCCAAGAAAGCTCCGCAGCTCACCCAGGTCAGTGCAGGTGTGTCTCTCCTGCAGCTCCGCCTCCACTAGGGCCGGTGCCTCAGTGTCAGCAGTAGCAGAAACCAAGTCGTCGACGTACCCGAGGACGTAGAACGGCGGCAGAGAAGTGTCTGTGCGCAGAAACAGCGAAGGGTCAGCAGTCGAGGGAGCGAAACCAAGAGCCGCAAGTGTAGTCCTCAGTGTGTCGTGCCACTCACGTGGCGCCTGACGCAGACCGTAGACTGGCCGCCGGAGGCTCCACTTGGAACCCTCAGGAAATCACCCAGTGAAGCCAGGAGGGCGGCGCAGTGCAAGAAAGCTGTGCTGAAGTCGACGGGGTGCAACTCGTAGTCACGCTGTGCTGCAACGTGCAGTAACACCCGAAGAGTGGTCGTCTTTGGGGTGGGTGAGAAGGTCTGGAAGAAGTCGACCCCCTCACGCTGACTGAAGCCTCGTGCAACGTAACGCGCCTTGTAGACAAGCGGAGAACCCTGTGGCCGCTTCACTCTGAAAATCCACATGCCATCGACTATGTTCGCCCAAGGTGGGGGAACTGCGTCGACGTAGGTGCCCGTGGACTTCCAGGAAGCCATCTCTGCGTCCATGGCTATCTGCCACTGAGAGGAGTACGGACCCGTGATCGCGTCTGCGTAAGAGCGCGGGGTCGGGATGTCCAGTGCGCCCGAGTCTCCCTCAGGGCAAAGTAGCGTGGACGCGAGATGAGGTGCAGCGGCCGCTAGGCACTCCGGCTCAAACTGCCTGTCCTCAAGGACGTCACAGCCAAGGGCAAGCTCACCCCCGACGGACGGAGGACAGGAAGAGTCAAAAACAAGACTCGCAGCGTAGTCAAGGCGGCACAGAGCAGCAAAGTCAACAAGCTCAGCGACTAATGGAGAAGCAGCAAGAGACGAAAAAGCAGGGTCAGTCACAACCGTGGCAAGAAGACGAATGACAGTCGGACTGGCAGCACGAGCAAGGTCAGACTTAGGGTCAGGAACGTGAGGAAGAGAAGACGCAGGAGGCGACAGCAGGACAACACGCTGTGGAACAGAGGAAGGACGAAGTGCCATGATGTGCGTGCCTGGGACAGGTGGAGGACGAGGACGGGCATCACGACGAGTACGGACAGGCGTGACAGGACGCGAGGCATGCTCTCTACTCTCAGTGAGGGACTCTGTCACCGCAGTGTAAGGAGCAGGAGCTGGCAGTGGGGAGTGAGGCAGTAACTGTGGCTGAGACTGGTCAGGCGGTGGAAACAGTAACGGAGGAGTAGTGCCAGCAACAGGGAACTCAGTAACAGCAGGCGGGAGACTGAGAAGGTGACGGAGCGTAGACGGTTTCTGTTGAGTAGTCACACCCCCAGCACCTCCGGCTCAAGTAGTAACAGCACCCCCATGACCAGCACCTCCAGCTCCACCACCGGGGCTGCCCCACCGGACAGCCCACTCGCGAAGCTGCTGCGGCGAGAGCGTCTCCTGCCGACTAGCACCAGGACCTCTAGCACCACGGACTCCAGTACCTCCAGTAGCACCTTCAGGGTCAGCACCTCCAGTGCTAGCACCTCCAGCACCTCCAACTCCGGTACCTCCAGGAGCACCTCCAGGGTCGGTACCTCCAGCACCAGTACGTCCATTACCTCCAACGTTAGTACCTCCAGTACCAGTGCCTCCAGCACCTCCAACTCCAGAAACTCCAGTAGTACCGCCAGCTCCAGCACTTCCAGCTCCGCCACCGGTGCTGCCCCACCGGACAGCCCACGCACGAAGCTCATGCGGCGAGAGGGTCTCCTGTCGACTCGGCTACCTCTGACGTCCACCCCCAGAGGCTCCAGCAGGAGTACCAACAACCCGACCACCAGTAGGACTCTCAGCACCCCCAGAACCAGCACCCCCAGAGTCAGCACCCCCAGTGTCACCACCTCCTGCAGCACCAGGGTCCACAGCGACTGGCTGCAGAGGCGGTTAAGACGGTCGGGGCCTTAACCCAGGAGGGGTCTCCAAGCGCGGCGAGCGGCGAGTGGCTGCCGTGTCGTCAGCAATTGGGTCACCCCCCTCAGCTGGGCCAGAGGTGTCGGAGGAAACCTCAAACGGCTCAACCAAGGGGGGTGGGTCAACCTGGGACACACCTGAGGGAGCAAGACCGTGAGGAGGGAGGGGGGCTACGGGGGGGGGGTCGAGAACCAAGAAGAGAGGCGGGAGGGGTACCGGGGAACCGCGGTGGGGGTGAAGACGGTAGAAGCAGACGGACTCGTCAAAAGTGACGTCGCGGGAGGACAGCACACGACGAGCCCGGGTGGTAAAACTGCCAGGGCGGTGCGTCGGTGGGAAAGCCAAGGAACACGCACCGAAGAGTGCGCGAGGAGAGCTTGCCCGCGAGCAGATCGCGGACAAGAGAGAGGGAACCCCAGACTCGAAACTCCGACACATCACCAACCTCTCCCGCCCACCGCAGAGTAGGGGAGGTCTCCGGGTGGGAGACACGGGGCCAGAGGTTGAGCTGGTGCGTGGCGTATCGGACTGCAAACGACCACAGAAAATGGGGAGCAGCATCATGGATCATGGAGGTGCGAACAACCTCCATGACCAAGCCAATGCGACGCTCTGCAATCCCATTATGCTGTGGAGAGGCCGGAAGCGTGAACGGCTGGGTGATGCCCTCAGCACCACAGAAGTCCTCGAGGAGGCGGGAGGAAAACTCACCACCTCGGTCAGAGTGCAGCCGCAAGACTGGGAGGTCATGCTGGAACCGAGCGCGAAGCTGGAGACGGACAACGCGGATCCAGCGGATCAAGACACCTCGGACCTCCGCCTTGCTCCGCAAGGGGAAGACCGTGGTGTAGCGCGTGTAGTCGTCAACAACCAGCAGAAAGTAGCGCTCGCCGCCCTGTCCAGTGACGCGGGCGGGGCCCCACACGTCCATGTGGAGGGTCTGCAGAAGAGCAGTGGTAGGAGGAAACGAGGAGGAGTGAGGAGCGGCGCGCTGCCGCCCCTCGACGCAGGGAAGGCACGGCGGCGCAAGCGACCTCGGGAGTGAGGGTAAGGACCTGGTGAGGCCAGACACAAGGAAACGGGAGTACATGCCACGCAGGCGTGGCAAGGAGGGGTGACCAAGACGCTGGTGCC